CCGCCCTTTTATCTGATACCGAAACTTACTGGATTTTGTTATTTTTGCTTCTATTTGCTTAATTTGTCATCACTCCCAGTTTGCTCAACATGCATTAATTGTATTGTATTTGTAACAGGCACGGGGAAGACAACACTTTCTACGGATCATAATAGGTATTTAATTGGAGACGACGAACACTGCTGGAGTGAGAATGGTGTGTCTAACATTGAGGGTGGTTGCTATGCCAAGTGCATTGATCTTTCAAAGGAAAAGGAGCCTGATATCTGGAACGCCATCAAGTTTGGGACTGGTACTAATAAAATCTGAGACCTTGCTACTTTTGTAATTCACTTACTCCCCACTATCCCTTGATTTGGATGTTGCTTTCAATCGGCAATTAATTGCCTGTGGTTTGCAGTTTTGGAAAATGTGGTGTTCGACGAGCACAGTCGGGAGGTAGATTATTCGGACAAATCTGTTACAGGTAAAAGATGACTCCACGGTTGTTTACTTGTTCCGAAATGAATCCCTTCCAAAAGCAAAATCTGGTGGCTATTAGCTTTGGCTGCTGAAATTAATCCTCATATGGTTTCTTAGATGATTGATTCCTTTGCCCAATAACAATAACGATAAATCCCTATCATCACTAGTAATTTTAATATTGGGTGTGAGAGATTTTAATGTTCTTTGTTTCTTTTTGTACAGAAAACACTCGAGCAGCATACCCCATTGAGTACATTCCAAATGCAAAGATTCCATGCGTAGGCCCACACCCGAAGAATGTCATCCTTCTAGCGTGTGATGCTTTCGGTGTTCTCCCACCTGTGAGCAAATTGAGCCTGGCCCAGACCATGTACCATTTCATCAGCGGCTACACAGCTCTGGTATGCGCATAATGACTCCATTTTTATTTTTTTCTTCAGATGATCATTTCTAAACTACTACTACTAAAGCCTTGTGCTACAGTACAGACAAACCTCTCTAAGAACTAAGAAATAGGAACTGTCACATATCTATCTCCCATTCAGTATAAGAATTTCTCAAATGCTACTCTTATGATTGGTGTTCGTTAAGGAACCATGGGATGCTCTATGCTATTATGGGTCCATTGGCTAGTTGAATTAATTATATAGTGAAATAGTACCGATGTAAACTCTGGGAGAAGCATTTTGATGGCCTTTTTTTTCTGAAAATAAAAACAGGTGGCCGGAACAGAGGATGGTATAAAGGAGCCACAAGCGACATTCTCCGCCTGCTTTGGAGCAGCATTCATCATGCTGCATCCTACTAAATATGCAGCAGTGCTAGCCGAGAAAATGGAGAAGCACGGTGCCACTGGATGGCTGGTCAACACTGGCTGGTCAGGTGGAAGGTATATACAAATTACAGGAATTCAATTAGGAAATACCTTATCCCTCTTCCCTCAAGTCTCAACATATAATAATATATTTTGGGTCTTGAATATTGATTGATTAAACAAAATTTTCTCCCTTGCAGCTATGGCTCGGGTAACCGAATCAGGTTGCCGTATACAAGGAAGATAATTGATGCCATACACTCCGGTAGCCTCCTCAAGGCTAATTACACCAAGACTGAAGTGTTTGGGCTTGAGATCCCTACAGAAGTTGAGGGCGTCCCTTCGGAAATCCTGAATCCAATGAACACTGTTAGTTGGCCCTTGTTTCCCCTAGCTCTTTTGCTTCTTTTTAACTCTTCTACTCGACCTTTAGTTGGTAGGTACATTTGATAATTGTGTTTTACTAATATATGTGAGCGTTGGATTGCAGTGGACAGACAAGAAAGCATACAACGACACCCTGCTGAAGCTTGCAGGCCTGTTCAAGAAAAACTTCGAGGGATTTGTGAATTACAAGATTGGCAAGGACAACTCACTGACTGAGGAGATCCTTGCTGCTGGTCCTATCTTCTGATGCACAAAAAGGGAGTTAATTGTAGTTGGCTACTTTGGGTTGCCTGTAGATGTGTAATTCATGTTTTCTAGCCTAGTTCAAATGCAAAAGGTTCTTTAGGCAGTAGTTTTATATATATTATAATGTACAACTTCTGGCAAAAATTTGTTTAATGCAATCATCGAAGCATTTAAGATATGGGGCCTCTGCTCTTCTCAAGCTCAGAGGAGTCTGATTAGCTTATTAGTTATGCATTAAAGTTCAAAGTAGGCGTCGGGGAGAGACCGGATCTGCGCCTCACATGCACATTCACATACGGGAGATATTCCCGATGCATGATAGGATGTGCAGATCCCGTCACCGTCGGGGAGGTAACAGGTAAGGACCAGAGGAACTAACTAGAAAGGCATTAGAGTGAATGAGTTGTTGACAACGTTTTGAAAACCAAGTTACTGACCAGACGAGAACTAGTTCCAGTATGCTATGGCCGAGATTCTTTCTATCTAGAGCAGTCAGCAGTATAGCAATGCAAGCGTCAAAGCTGGACCTGACAATTGGGTTGGGTGGGTCGGATTCGGGTTGGGTCAAGATACTTTGAGTTGATTTCGGGTTGGGTTATCAAATGTTAGATCCTAATCTTAAATGTTCAAGTTAGGATTGACCCATAACTGAAATTAAAAAAAAAAAGAAAAATTACATGAAAATGCTAAAATTAAAGGAATTAACTTTAAAATCCAAATATAAGATAAAAAACTTGAACATTTAACAATTTAAAGAGTAACAATAAAAAGTAAAGACTAAATGGAAAAAAATTAAAGAGTGGAAACTTCTAACAATATTTTTTCAGACCCAATCTAATCCAACCCAATTTTTTTCTAGATCAGGTCGAGTCTCTCTCGAATTCATATAACTAAATATGAGACCCTAACCCTGTTCTAATCAAAATGCATGTAATCATAATTCATGCAAATCAATGAATCATACATAAATTTACCTTCATATGATTTGGTCATATGCATAAATGACCATTAGCAACACGCAAAAAAAGCAAAGTCCATTAGAAACACTCATACGAAATGATTTGTTTGTAAGTTAAAAGGCTAACAAACTAGAAGCAGAGGGATAACAAGGACACAATTAGAAGTAGATGACGACGACGACTACAATAATAATAATAATAATAATACAACTCTAATATTTTCCTCTCCTCATGCCATATTAATACAACTCTAATACCAAAAAAAAAAAAATTGTGTCCTTTTCAAAGAACCAGTTATCTAAATTTCATTTAGCATGAATTGGAAAATATTTAAATTATATCCGTAAATTGGTTCAACCAATTTTCAATATTTAAGCCCAAAAAGATTAGTTTGAAACGATTTAGTCTTGCTGCCTATGTCATGTTATATTTATATTATCCGTGTCCTTTCCCTGTCAAATATTTTATTACAAAGATTTTGACACGAAACATTATACTTCAATTTAGAAATGCATTTGGTCACAAGGCATATATCAGACTGTGCGTCAGGGTAGAAATTCTAAAATTTGAATTACATAAAATTCAGACAGTGGGAGTATTTTTAAGTTGCATTAAATCCTAGGCCCAGCCTAAGACCTAGATCATCAAAACAATAATCTCAATCTCCATTATGTATCAAGATCTCAATTAATCCTTTTACAAAAAAAAAAAAAAAAAAAATCTCAATTAATCTGCTCCATTCTAATGAGATTAACCGATCGAGATAACCAATCTAATGATCTAAGCACCAAGTAAAATGATCACTTAACATCAATGGGTTAGTCTTGTCAGGATTTTTTTTATGAGGGGGCCAAAATTTATGGATGGGCCATAGGGGACATGGTTTTCAAGACCGGACCGGAAAAACCAGGAATCAGTTCCGTTTTCCTCTAAAAGTATTGATTTTGGTCAGTAAACCGTTGAATCGGTTGATTAGCTGTTAGAACAGTTTTTACTGTTTTTTTAATTAATTTATTTATTTTGTCAAAATGGGTTGACCGTTTGGGTCGAACGGTTGGACCATTTGAACCGGTAACCAGACCCCTAATCGGTTCGGTTTTAAAAACCATGATAGGGGGGCCAACCATTGGATGAAAAATGAGGGGAGGGAACAAACTTATATATAAAAATGTACTGAGTGTGCAAATTTCTAGACCATAGAGGGGGCCATGGCTCCCCCTAGCTCCGCCCCTGAATGGATCAATCTTGTCCATTCAATCAATGTAACCAAATTAAACCAGAGATCCAGTTTATTAAAATGCTATCAGTAAATAGATCAACAGATTTAGCTATTCAAATGATGCGTTAAGAGTTTTCATATTAAAATATACAATCTCTAACATCAGCCAACATTATGTTAGCGTAGCATGGCCAGCATCACCCTTAGGACTAATGATGCTTAGGTGGTGTTTGATAAATTTGAAAAGCTGCTAAAAAGATATTATTTGTCTGAAATCTGAAAAGAAGCATAAGTGTTTTTCTATTTTTTAGAGGCTTTGAATCCATAAGTTTGTTTGTATTGGGTCAATCCTATAACATTTGAAATTCATTGCTTTTACTATTTTACCCCTTAGAACATACTATTTGGCAATTTTGTGTTTAATTTGCACTAACTCATAAAAAAACTGTTATCAACTTCAAAAGCAACGTCACAACCATACAATACACATGATACGTATTGCATCTATCAACTTTCTTAAAAAATGCAAATAAGGTGATTTGAATGCATATCACCCAACATGTTTAGAACTCACTACAATTTTAAACCACTAAGCCACACTTCATTTTATGATAAAAAGTGAAATAAAATAATTTTTATTAACTTTTTTTTTTATTCACATGCAATTTAAATAAAAAGAACATATTTATATTTAATAACTCTAATTAAAAATTAAAAAATAATACTTAAAAATAGTATTTTATAAACTAATAGAATAAATAATGTATCAAATCCACATTTATATAAAAAAGATGATTTTTAATATTAAGAAATTTGTACAAAAAGAATATTAATAATAGAATAATTATTTTAATACTTAAAATTTATAAATTTGCACATGATTTAAATCTTAAAATTTTTATATACTTTTACTAGTTATTAAATAATATTTTAATCTACATTAACAAGTAATAACAACATATTTATTATTTACAAAAATAAAAATATTATATACAAAGTATTGAAGAATATAATATTAAACTGAATCTATCAAATCCACTAATCTACATTTATTTCAAAAAATGATTTTTTATTTTATACAATTTATATAAATAAATATATTATAAATGAAATAATTAATTTAGTAATTAAAAACTATGAATTTGTATATGATATGTATCTTAGAAATTTTAACAAATTTGATATACTTTAAGTGAAGATTACATTTTTATAAATTATTAATTGATATTTTAATTTGCACTTGAAAATTTAATATTTAGTTGACTTTTTCTTAACGTTAAAAAAATTAAAATAGTAAAATAAAAAATAATTAATATAATAGGTGCATGTGTTTAGTGTCTCGGACTCTTGATTGATGCATATAAATAAAATTATGCATCTTGGTACATTAATCGTAATATATTTCGTCATATATATATATCCTTAATATTTATATTTTCTATGTGTTCATATACTATTTTGTGATCATTTTGATCTTAAATTTAGTGTTATTAATGTATTTATAAAATTTGTATATATTTCCCTAACGTATTCATGTGTTTTCATCTTTTTCATCTGTATCCATGCATTTCCAAAATGTATCCGTATTCGTATCCTGGTTCTCTGATACAATACCTGATACCGATACTTTAGTCATTGGGTTCAATGATAAGCGCAAAAACAATAAATATTTATAAAAAAAGCAAGGGGGTAAGTATCACATCCCCTTCAAGTATAGGGGTCCTATAATTTGTCCATATTCTTTTACCATTTTACATTTTTATATTAAATTGCTAGGCATTGACCGAGATTACCCAAGGTAACGAACCGACTCAGGCTTCAATTAAACAATTTTAGCCCATGGTTGTTGGTCAGGTTTTGGGCAAGTCTGGATCACTTGCCAACAAAACATGTTTTCAACCCTCTACCAACATGACCTTACACCGCACATCTCATACATGGTGGGCCCAAGACTCATGGTGAGGTGTGCGATGTTAAATCAAGTCGGTAGAGGGTTGGAACGTGTTATATTGGCAAAAAATCTCAACTCATTTTGGACCGAGATAGTTGCAAAAGTGCAGGTGTCTTGGATAGGCTTGTTAACGATACCCATAAACCTGTGACCCCATCCAATATCCAATCCGATAATCTCGGATTCAAATGGGGTAAATGTCATATCGGATTGGATTCAGATGGCACAAGTAAAATCCGATTAAAAATCGGATCAAACTATGATTCACCCCCCATCCGATTCGATAAAAATCCGACTCCAATATATTTATTAATATAAATAGATTTTATATATTATATATTGTATACTTTTTATACACAAATGGAATAAATAAAATCTCTTAGGGGTTAGGGGTAAATGAGGAAACCTGTTCGTCAAACCCTCAGTCGGCCGGCCAAAATCCTAAACCCTCAATCAATATTTTCTTCTCACTTCTTAGCCTAGGTTTTCTTCTCTCTTGCCGTCGCTTGACTCAACTTGCCAAGTTGTCGTTCTCTCCTCTCTCAACTCTCACTCTCTGCAACAACCAACAAACAAGACTCTCGCTGTCATTGTTATTTTTTCGCCCAAGTTTTCTTCATTCTCGTCATTCCCCCTCTCTTCTTGATGTAGGATGAACCTTTTTTATTGGTTTTATGAGTTTCATTCATCCTACAATTTATAATACTTCTTTAAGAAAATACAGAAATGTTAGTTGAAAGTTGGGATATGGACTCGTAAATGGTCTGAATTCAGATTTCTGCTCAAATGTTAGTTAGAGTCGGATTAAAATCTAAAATCCGAAAAATCCGATCGGATTCGAACTAGGATTCCTTTACACAATCCGGTCGGATTTCGGATCGGAATCGGATGTAGCTAACAGCCTGTCGAATCGAACTCGGACTTAGATGAATCCGATTCGAGTCCGATCCGAATACAGGCCTAGTCTTGGGCTTGTTCCGTGACTCCGTGAACACAATTTTGCTATCAACACTGACGTGTTCGTCTGTGATTGGTTCTTGTGTTCGCAGCAAATACACCGTGGCCGAACTCGCCGACCGCCGTATCAGCTTTGGATAAAAGATGTCTCGGACAAGACACAAAACGAAAATTATCATCGAGAAGATGCCACGTACGCATTACACGCGCCATTTTAAATTGCATCGAGTCTGCGTGTTCATTGAGAAAATTTCCTCCACACGAACCGAAGAAAATTTCTGTTTCTCACGCTTCGTCTCGTCTCCCTGCACAATACAGCCCGAAAATCTTCCCATTCTTTGCTTCAACCCTTGAACATGTGGCCTCTCATCGTTCCCTCGTTTTTATTTTATTTTACTTTTCTTTCATAAGAATATAAATATCAATAAAAGTGAGCAGAAATCTCAACTCTGGTCTCTCTCACCCTATCTCATATCCCTGTGGATTCCTTTTAGGGTTATGAGCACGAGCAGATGCTTTTGAATTTCTCAGACTATGAACACTGGAAACCTTACACATAGATTTCCTGAACCTGAAACCACCATACCTTCTATTGTCATTGAAAGCTTTCAATTCGAATTATTTGTAGTATGTTGGAAGCAATGGCTTGTTGCCAAAGTTTTAAGGTATTTCTTTTTTTTTCTTTGAATTTGCCTTTTGCTGAATTTCATGTTTACTTATTTATTGTGACGAAACTTCGGCTTCTTAAACGGCTACTTTTGCCAAGGAAGCTTATGAATTACTCTATTAATGGTGGTTTGGTATGTTTACAGTTACTGGGTTTTACTAAATGTTAGTTGACTAACCCGAGTATGGGTTTGTCGTGGTCCCGCCTTTGGTTTATTAATTTGTTTTTTTAAGATAGATGTAGAAGTTATTTTTAGTATTTAGTTCTAACATTTTTTTTCTGGAAGTTTAGTCTTATTATTTGAGTCGCATTTGTCTCAGCATTTAGTTCTATGTAATTTTCTTTTTTTGGTAGAAAAGCTTTACCTGTCGTCCTGTTTGGGTGCACTAGAAGTATTAGTGTTTTTATCTGAATGGACTCCTTTCTTTTGTTCTAGTTCAATGACTTATGCAGGGGGCTGACGTTGTGCTTAGTTATTCTGTCACCCCATAAAATTACGCTTATTATGCCCTTGTGACTTTAACCTGCAATTGGCCTTAAATTAGCGTGGCCTCTTCTTCATCAGTCCTTACTTGGATGCTTTGTGTTCTACTGTTATGAATCACAAGGGGTCCTCAGATGATTAGTTCAATCACTTCTCACAATGCATATGCTTTTCTTTTGAACATAGATGTTTTCAAAGTGAAAATGTTCTTCCCCTTTAATTATAAAACATACCAAGCCCTGGTTCACTGGATATCACCTCCTTCGACTCCTAACCTGCATATGCTTCTGTTTATGCTCTCTATTATTTGTTTAGTGCTTCTGGGACATTCTTATGTTTACATTCTATGGATGTACTTGTGTAGTGAATTATTGATAAAACTTGATTCTATATGTTCTATCATTCAGTTTATTAAGCCCAATATTTCCTTTTAAGAATAAAATAACATCATTAACCTACATCAAAATATAAATCTTTCTCTGGAAATTCTCATCTACAGTTTATGGTTATTATCTTGCAGGGACATGCCATTGTGCATCAGATTAGCCCTCATGCCTTTTTAAATCTGAACAGACATTCTTTTCGTGTGCTGTCTTCCCATAAGCAGCAAGAGGATTCCCCATCATACACAAAACATCTTCGAATAAGTCATTGCTCTTTTAGTTCTAGGAGTAACTTTGACAGAAAGCATTTCTTAACTCCCTCAGTTTTTCAGTTGAGAGGTTTTGAGATTTCCAAACGTAGCTGCCCCTCCTGGGAAAGATTCCGGATATATGCAGAACTTGATGTTGCCAGTGCCATTGATGTTATTAACGATTTAGGATTGGATACTTTGACATTCTTGGCTGTGACTGTTATGGTTGTTCCTGCATTCAAGATCATCAGAGCTAGCCCTGTAAGACTAACTTTTCTACTTTTATGTTTGTTTTGGCTTTACTTTCTCTGTATGAATGTGAGGCTCTTGCCTTGTGCTTCATTTCTACCCCCCTGTATTTGGGTGTGTCAGCATTGCAACAATCTTGTGCTCCTCTTTCTCCCAACTGGTACTTGGTTTGTGAAAATAGGTGGATGACGTGTTCACGAAAATATGTTATAAATTTTATTCCCATGTTTCTGAAATGCAAAGTTATGCTTTTTCTTTGTTTGCAGATACTTGGTTTCTTTTTTGCAGGAGTTGTACTTAACCAGTTTGGCTTGATTAGAAACCTGACAGATGTTAAAGTTCTTTCTGAATGGGGGATCCTTTTCTTGGTAAATAGAGTACATATTCTTTTTCTTTTGTTGTCCTTTCTTATTAGTATTTTTCTTTTAAATACTTTTTTTCCTTTTATTCCAAATACATTATTGATAACTGCAACACCAGGTACCAAAGCATCCACATTTTATTTTAAACACCAAATAATTTGCAGGAACAAATTCATGCTACTTTCATTAAACCGATTTTGATGTGAAAGATTGATAAATAGATAGCATTATTTCTTCATTTTGCATATTCTACTATTTGTTGGAGAAGTAATTTTAAAGAGTTATAAAACATGACCTTAAGAACTTCCTGTACACTTAGGAAGAACACATATCACATAGTTTTCATCTATCAAAAAAAAAAAAAAACTACATAGTTTTCTAAAGCATTAGGGTTTTAGTTGCAATGGCTTGGCTCCACTTGAAGTACTTGAATAAATTATGCCTTCAAACATTTATTCCTGGGTTATTGGCCTCTGATTTGTTGTTTGAAGGGCCTATTGTATTCTGTAATCTGGTTCTATCTTAATACCCTTTTTTTTTTTTAAAAAAAAAACTAATGATCAAAAGTAGCCAACATAAATTGAATGGATGAAAGAAAATTCAAGAGAAAAAGTGGATTATCATGAGCTGCAACACAGAATCAAAATCTGTATCCCATGTGTCAAAATTTTGTTACCAGTTCATATATAGCTTGATTTTGGTGTCATTCAGAAGGTTATTTGATTATCCATCCAATGCGCCAAAATTCTCGTTCTTAGTTAACTGAATTTTCTATTAAGGCCTTATTAGGTAGATCTGTGGTCTTTAGTGTGAGGTGTATAACTTTATATAGTTCTTGGTCTTGATGTAAGGACTTCTTCATTGGGTATATTAAGGCAAAGGCCAACTTATTGAGCTCAACAAAGTTTTGAAAAGGTTGTCTTGCTCCTGAAATCAGCTCGTTAGAGAACTTTTAGTTGCTTCTATAAGAAAATGGCCAGAGGTTTGTTCAATTCTTGGGAGTTTAAGCTGAACACTGAAGAAAGCACCATCTAGTTGTATGGAAAAAATGAAATTTCTTGCCACATCACTTGGCATTAACTCATTAAGACTAATTTCCATGGATGTGGTGATGAGCAATAACCGAACTAGGGGTTACCCAGTGTTTTAAAAGCGCAAGGGGCAATTTGCACCCGAGGCTAAAGGCGCAAGCGAGGCGTGCGCCTTTTTGAAGCAAGGCGCAAAAAATGCCAAAATAAAAAAATAAAAAAATCATAAAATTCAAAAAATGCCAAAAATTTAAAAAAGATGCAAAAAATAAAAATATTCAACATAATATTAATAAAAAATATAAACTTAAATTTTAAAATAAGTGCTTTGAAAAACCTATTATCTAAAATTGAAATACATAAACATAACATGTAAAGTGTATTCAAATGAAAATTTAAAAATAAAATCAAACATATAAAACATTTTCAAGCATGTAAAACCTACAATCTCTTTTTTTCCTCAATTGCATTACTTCAAGTAGCTAATGTGATGTAAAACATATTGCGTTCCTGATTCTATGTGCCGCCTTTGTACCATGCCCCTTGAGGCAACCCCAAACAAGTCTATCTTAGGGTCTTAAATTCTTAAGTCTCACACAAAAAGTAATGGTTTTATAATGTTAATTGCCTTTTAAGAAGATAATTTATTATATTTTTAAAAATTAAATCGGATCAGATCATATTTGGATATCTGGCATCCTTAACAGATTTGGATTCAAACCAATGTTTGTGAGTACGGTTTATAGTATCGGTCAGGTTTGGATATACCCTGATTTGAATCCGGTCCAATCCGTTTGCATCCCTAAATGTAGTTCCATCCTGTTGGCAGTCCATATGATTCAACCATCCAATCCAATCCAGCTCCAAATGTCGCTCTAATAAGCACCTTGTAGGGTTTTTTTTTTCCTTGTATTCTTTAAGAAACCTGACCTTCCATGATGCTTAAAGTACATTATAGTTTCTATCAGGATTCCAGCTGTCTGGAAGAGTTTTGATTTCCTTGTTGCATTACTTTATTTCTTACAAACTTACTCGACATAGGGTCATGTTTGCATGCCCAAGCTTCTTTCATTCTGTCACATGTGGATTTCTTCACTAAGTTCTTATTCACAATTTCATGGATTATTTAAGTGCCATCCACAATGTATATCTGATTTACGAATTGCTTTGTCTTATCTTTGGAAACATTATTACTGATGTCTGTCTAGAAATACTATTTGTGATGGTAAAACTTGCTTTCATCTGAATTTGATACCGGATATTTTGTGAACTGCCTATGTCAAGTGGTACTTGAAATTTAGCAAATGGAAAACATTGAAATTTTGTGAAATTCTGGATAATAAATTTGGTTTTGGCCACTTGATATAATTTGTTTGTTAGAAGCCACTTGATATAATTCATGTCCTTAAAAGTTCCCTTTTCATGGTCATATATCACTCGTAATGATAGGTTCCAGTTGTGATGAAGATTGAAACCACATTTGATGAGTTACCTACAATGTTGGTCTTTCCATGCTGTTAGACATTGTGGACTATAACTTGCATTAGAATATTCTTTTTACTGCTGACTAATTTTGTACTTTTTTTAGCTATTTGAGATGGGTTTAGAGCTTTCATTGGCACGCTTAAAAGCTCTTGCCAAGTTTGCATTTGGCATGGGATTAACTCAGGTACACTGTTGGCAAAAACTGAGATATGATTGTCCATAGGGATGAATGCAGATGCCATTTGTGTTCTGTTTGTTTATGTATTTCCCTTTCTATGTTGCTGTAAATGTAAACCATAAATGCGGTATGGTATGTCAAATGTCTTCCTTTTTCCTTGAAATTCAGTCACCCTCTTAGAGTAGTTTGGTATTTGTCTAATGGTTAAGAAAGTTTCTTTAATTTTTGAGCATATGCAATCATCTAAAGCCTTCATATGGGATAAATAACTTATTTTTGCACATATGCAGGTACATTTCCATTTTCCTGTCACTTCCTATCTTGGCATTACTCCATGTTTGGGACTTTGGGTTTGGTGCCTATTTAGAAAGAAAATGAATAGAAGGAATATGATTCCCTTTGCTTGATGTGTGCTTATTCATTTTTATTTCTTAGTTAAACAAATAGAGTTAACATCAAGATTCTTCCTTTCATTTCAAAGGCATACATAGCATCAACTATAACTTATATGTTCTTTCCCTAAGATGCCTGATCAATTTCGTTTAGCATAATTATTTGGGAATTGCTGTTTAGTACTACAAACTGCAATTCATGCTTTATTAGTTTTAAGCCAGGTAAAATAGTTCATCCTTTTGGCTTGGTTGTTTATTCAGGAGTGGAATCCTTTTGAACCTCAACCAGATCTTAAAAGGTTAAATTATTGGGGGATAAAAAAATCAAAAGAAAAATTAACTTAATGGATTTCTATAGACTTGCAATTGTATTAGAAGCTCTATTCATTTTTTTTAACATTTTGCTCTTTCCATCTGGTATACCTGTTTGATGTAATGGATTCTCTGCAATTTCTTTTCTTGAAATATGGTAGCTAACCATTTCATGGATGCTAAACACATACTAATATGTTGCAATTTCTTGTTTGAAGGTTGTGTTATCTACTCTTGCTTTTACAGCATTCGAGCTCCCACCAAATGGCGCTATTGGCACAAGAATTTTGGAGTTTCTTTTCCACTCAAGACCTGATCTAGTGAGAAACATTTTCTTTTCAAACATTTGTTTAATGTGATTTGCATGACATCATTCTCAATCCAGACCTGCACCACATCACTTTATAATAATTTAATTTTCTAACCAATTTTGAAATTGTTATTTTCCCATTCATTCTAGTTGAAATCTAATTATCTAGAACGAGATGGAACTTTATTTTTCAGTGATTCACCATGCCAAGCATTTATTCTGTTGTTACTGGTCTTATAATCTTATTATTATGATAATTTGAGGTTGCTTTCAATTTTGTCTTTATACTTTTTTTTATCAATGGCAAAAAGTACATCTGTCCCTCCCCAGACCCCACATTGATCTTGTGCACTAGGTTGCCCTTTTGATAAATGGAAAGAAGTATTGTATTACTATAAAGAGGGTGAGAAACCCTCAACATTCACAATAGGTGTGACTAATCTACAGATCATTGATAAAAAAATAATTGAGTTCCAGTGATCCTTATAATAATCATAAATAATTTGGAACTCCTGAAAACTGATGCAGAACCAGCCCATGATGCCCATCTCAGTAAAAGACCACTTGGCTTTGCTAATTATAGCCTTCGGGTGAAGCCTTGGCCTCAGAAATTCTGCTATTCCTCTCCTTCCATATAGATCAGCAGATGACAAAAGGTAAGAAATCCATAACAATTTGTCCCTAGAAGAGAGACCACCCACCTTCCAACTTGACAGCATATCAGCCATAGATGGGTGGGCGGGGGGGGCACTGCCTTTGAAATAATTGAAGGAAGTGGAACCAGATACCACTGACTTTATACTTGGTTATTGACCACAAAAACTTGTACGCATCCAAAGGTGCTGATACATATGCTCTAGAATGACACTGGCTCATGGTTCATTATGAGTTCACTACTTTCTGAACTAAAGCAGCCAAAAGGGTAACCAGCACATCTGATGCAGTCTTTCAGAATATGGCATGCACACAAATGTTTATTGGATAGTGGGATCTTGTTAGATATTTAGGGATTGAGCTAATCTCCCTACTTAGGGGCACCCATGTGTTGTCAATCAAGGAGGCCAAGGTTATTGTTTAGGATTAACCCATTGAGTAATTGGTCTAATAATCAAACCAATCTGACCTTATGGTGTTTATTTCTGGTTCAAGATTATCAAATGTATTGCAATTTGAAGTTGGTTTAAGGTGCAATTTGTACAAGTAGTAGTAGGGAAAGAAAAGAAGAAAAAGTTTGAGAGAAAAATCGATGAGTACCAGTGATTTGCACTCTTTATTTTCTCAATAAGGTTTAAAAAGACCTACATACTTTTATATAAGTCCATTAATTGTCTTAGTTCTCATGGTTAACTGGACGATAATGGATATTTGGTTTTAAAGGAAAACAAAGATATGAAAACTAGAGGTGCTCACGGTTCGATTAGCCTATTTTTGAAACTGAACCGAGGTTAACCAAAGCCGATACCGGTTGATCGGTTTGGTTTGTCAGTTTTTTTTTTTTTTTTTTTTTTCAATATATATTATAAACAATATATAAATATATAATAAAAAACTAGAAATATATATATATATATATATAATATTATATTTTAAATAATAAATAATATATTATAAATTATAAATATATAATGCATATTTATTAATTTATAATATATAGAAAATATATACAATATACATAAATATACGTAAAATATATATAATATATGTATACTGGTCGGTTTGGTTAACCGCTGGTTTTCTATTTTGGTTAACCGAAACCGAACTGGTACCTTCGGATTTTAAAAATACCGAACTGACCAGTTTGATTAACCAAATTTTCGGTTGGTTTTCGGTTCAGTGCGGTTTTCGGGTTTTCTTGCTCACCCCTAATGAAAACCTTATGCCAATTCTTCATGTTCTTCAAAATTCAAATGTATAGAAGTCAGATGGAAGAGAGAAGCAATGAATAATGAAGATACCCAAGAGGAATGGCCTATTAGGCCAATTGGAGGAATCCTGTTGCCAATCCATAAGGGCCCCTTTATGGATGTTTTCCCCAAGAAACTTACATGTGTTGCCTAAGCAAAGTCTCTAGTATCTTCTTTGGATTTATTTGGTTTATAAGGAGCTAAATATATGTTATTTGTCCAGCATCCTCAATGATTCCCATTTGGAAATTCTTTCAACTGGTGTGTAACTGTATCTTAATTCATTTGACACTTAACCGATGCATTGCCACTGCTTTTAGGAAACATTTCATGCATTAGGCTTTCTTTTTGGTGGGCTTGCGCACATTTAATGCATATTCTCCTCCTCAAACTTCTAAGCATGTAAATTGCACCTTATTATTTTCTCATTTGAATGAAACACAGGTTAATATAAGAAGTCTTGATGAAGCTATTGTGATTGGTGCTGCTCTCTCATTGTCATCTTCAGCTTTTGTTCTGCAGGTATGCTGACTAGATATTGTGGCTTGACTTTGTAGTCAAAATGGGATTGATTACCAGATTTGCAAACTGTTTGGTGGTATGATTTTGCAAAAAAGCAAACTTTTAATAAAATACGAGGCCATATAAGATAACAGTTTTGGAATGTATAGATGTCCTATAGATTAATGTCTGTGATTTTCTTGGTCTTAATTGTATTTGAAGAACTCTTTTATTATCACAGGTGAACTATCAAAATTAGAAACCCAGTAGATATCGGAGAAGGAAAAACTAAATGGCATGCAGTATGCACCTCCCTCCCTTCTTATCATAAATTTATCACTAGTTAGAACTTCTACGATGCTGGACCATTACCTAATGGTGGTCCTGCCTATCTGGGGTCTTGAGAGAGGTGGACTATATATGGACTTAACCTTTGGCATTTTGTACACAAAGTGGCTACTCTCAGACTTGAACCCATATTCTAATGCTTGTCAGTCCAAGATTTTAACCCACCTAAAATAAATAGATACGCTTCAGAGACCACATAATAAGTTGGACTTCATCCTATGGATTGGGTAAGCAAGAAGCCTATCCAATTAGCCGTTAAGTGTAATGTGGACTTTTCTTCGCCTACATCTGTGCCCTTTAATCCCAAAGGCCGGCCTTCATTAAGAGTTCATTCTTGTAAATTATGATTTAATAACTTAACTTCACTTTTACTAACTTGTAGAAATTGGATTATGCTTGTCTCTTTTCAAGTAGCGTAAATGTCTAGTTATTGAATGTATATGCATGTATGCATTCAACCACCTAGCTCTTGAATACAAATTATTCAAGAACAAGACATCTTGACTATGAAACATTGTCTTATTGAAAGAAAGGCGTTGTGTGCAAATTAGATTTAGAGAAAGCCTATGACTTTGTGGACATTCAACCACTAGCAATTATCTCTCAGTTTCAAGGGGCTTTCATCCAAGAAAGTGAAATCTCTGATAAAATCCTAATAGCTAATGGATGTGTGGAGAATTTTAGGAAATCTAGAAAGAAAGGCATTGTGTGCAAATTAGATTTAGAGAAAGCCTATGACTTTGTGGATTGGGAGTTCTTGTTGGAGGCTCTTAGGAAGTGCAGATTTGGAGCAAGATGGTGTAGGTGGATTAAAGGCCATCTACAGTCCTGTCATTTCTCAGTATTAGTCAATGGAGTAGTAAAGGGCTTTTTTAACACTAAAAGAGGAGTTAGACAAGGAGATCCTCTATTCCCCTTCCTTTTCACGATCTTAGTAGAAGTGCTTAGCAGATTGATATCAAAGGCGGATGCGACAAGTATTTTAAAGGGCTGGAGAGTAGGAAGGGAGAGTGTGGTGGTAACTCATCTTTAATTTGCGGATGACATCATCATTTTTTTGTGAAAATGGAGATGAGTTGGCTGCAAGGGACCTAAGGTTGGTGCGTGGTTAACCTTTTTGAAAAAGTGACAAATCTGAAGGTGAACCTCAACAAGAGTGTGATGGCTGGGATTAACTTAACCCAAGAACAGGTCAATGTTTGGGCAGAGGAATTAGGTTGTCTGCGGAGCGAGTGGCCTTTGAAAATATCTAGGACTCTCTCTAGGTGCAAACCCAAAAAACTTAGGGTTCTGGGAACCAGTACTGGAGAGGTTTGAAAAGAAGTTGGTAGCATGGAAGAGAAATTATGTTTCATTGGGGGGAAGGATCACTCTTATTAGGGCCACCTTAGCAAATCTCCCAGTTTACTATCTCTTGGTGTTTAATATGCCTCAAGCTATTGGGAAGAAATTAGAGAAGATAATGAGGGATTTTCTGTGGGAACTTGATGAGAAGGAGAGAGGTCATCTAGTTGGATGGGAAGTAGTGACTAGAAGGAAGGAATTGGGAGGTTGGGCATTGGAAGACTAAAGGAGAGGAATGAGGCTCTCTTGGGCAGGTGGTTATGGAGATTCCCAGGTGAGACAGACAGGCTTTGGCACAAAGTGGTATCCAATATACATGGGTGAGGGACTCTTCTTTAAAAACCTTATTCCCTTCAATTTTTGCTCTCTCCTCCCTCAAAGGTAGACCAGTTGCCTGGATTCTGGGACTTTGCAGAAATGTTAGGGACTCAAAACTGGGTTCTTTGTCCTCTCTACTTTAGTTGCTCGATGGGGTGTGGCTAGACACTTCTAAACAAGACACTAGGCTTTGGACTCCTCATCCTTCAGGTGTTTTCAGTTGTGCCTCTTTTTACAAGTCTTTGTCTTCTCCTGCCCAACTTGGGGAACCCTTCCCTTTACAGGAAGTTTGGTGTCAACCTATCCTCCACAAAGTGGGTGCCTTTTGTTGGGAGGTCTATCATAGTGCAATTAACACTAGTGATCTGATGCATAGGAAAATACCTGGTTGGTTCATTTCACCAAATTGGGGCTGTTTATGTAAGTCAAATGGTGAGAATGCTTTTCATAATCTTGTCTCCTGTCCTCTTGCTAGTAGTATTTGGGATTGGTTTTTCTACCTATTTGGATGCAGGTGGGACACCCCAGTGAGCTTGGAAAGATTGTTTGAGCCATCTACTTTTAGATGTCCAAAGCGAAGAGGGAGAATACTGGCACAAGGGCAGCAGTGCTATGGGTACTATGGGAGGAAAGAAATCGGAGGATATTTGAAGATAAGGAAAGATGCAAGGCAGAACTATAGAAAGTATTATGTTGAAAGTGATCTCATGGGTGAAAATACTGAATTTATTTTCAAATTTTACAGTGGATGATATGATTAGGAATTGGAGGACAGTTGCTATCTCTTCCTCGGCAAAAAAGAAGGTCCTGAAGGAGTGGGTGCCCCCAGAACCATTTTTTATCAAATTAAACTTTGATGGCAGCAGTTTTGGAAACCCAGGAAGATCTGGAATTGGAGGGGTTATAAGAAATGAAAGAGGAAATGCGTTGGGGCTGTATTCAGGTCCCATTGGAATTGGAAATTCCACTACAGCTGAACTGAAGGCAATGGTATATGGGATACAAAAAGCTAAGGAGATGGGGGTGGAAAGGATGGTTGTGGAAGGGGATTCCAAAGTTATCATCAGTTGGCTAAAACAACATGACAGCACACCCTGGATATTCAGAAATGACATCAAGAAGATTAAAAGTCTATCCAAGGACATGCAGCTTTCAATTCAGTGGACCCATAGAGCAACAAATGGATTTGCAGACCAGCTAGCCAAACAAGGGGTAAACAGGGACCACTATTTCTGGGCCCAACTGTAAGAGTGAAAAATCAATTTAATAGTGGATATATTACATTGTAGTGGGGTAGCTGAGGCTACTCATAAATTGTTACCCCTGTAATTTCTATTTTCATCAATGAAATTTCTTTTTACTGATAAAAAAAACATTGCCTTACTGAAAAAAGAAAAAACATTTTTAGTACAAATTATTATTGTCTCAGCCTTTTTAGTTGGTGTTTAACACCTATGAATATGAAGAAGGTCTACATGTCTGGCCTTTCATTTGCAAGGGATAAATGTCATTGTCTTTTTCATTTGTATTATTGGATATCATTCACAGTGGAAGTGCTAGACATAAATAATATCACCTAGGTCAATAGACATGTGAAGTGAAAAGAAAAGTATGTTGTAGATGGGGCATATTTTGATTAATGTCAACTCCAAATATTCTTCATTTACTGCAGGAGAAAATTAGGCATGGAAAAATAAATAAATAAATATGTATTTATTCAAATAAAGAACATGCTAAACATATGATCATTTCACTTACATTACATGTAAAAATGATTTTTTTTTTCCTTTTTCCTAGATGTTATTTCTAATTTGATGCAATGGTTGTAATGCTATAATGTTGGTTGTGATTCTGTTGCTTACCAAGGAAGATATATAGCTTCTTGCAGAAAGAGGTGAACTGCCAACAAGATTTGGATCAGCAACTTTGGGGATACTTCTTCTACAGGTTCTTTCAGTCATGTATACAAGTTTTCTTATTTCTATTTATTCTTTTTATTTAGTCAATAGTGATGCTATTACATTTTGTTCTATTTCACTTTTCCGAATTTGGATGCGATCAATTATGTGAAGTTTTACATAAAAACGTATCAAGTTAATAAGATCCCTGTTGGTTGATAATTTGCAGGACATAGCTGTTGTGCCTCTCCTAGTCATACTCCCTATACTGGAGAGTCAGGTATGTGGAAATGTTTCTAGAGTTTTTTTTTTCCAAGAAAAATAAGAAAAAAAAAGAGGATTACAATAAGGTCATTGAAAAACATCCAACAGAACCCTAGAGTCTCACACCTTGCAACTATGCACAATATACAATACTCCTATACATCATCAACAATTGTTAGACAGTGCCTATTCTTCAACAATTATGTCCAACATTGACCACAAATAAGAGACCAAGGAAGATCTCACAATGTCTTCAAACTCTCGATGAGCCACCAACCAGTCCATAACAAGAGACCCAATATCGGTGTTGAAGATTAATTAGTTTTATAATGTTTTTCTGAGTAGATGTTTTATGTTAGTTATTAGATAGGAGGTGGGGACCACAATAGTTATGTGAGTCCAAATTTTATTATGTTTTTTGAGTGTTATATATGCTGTTTTATGTTTTGCTGCCCTATAAGGGCATAGTTGTCTTTGTACTGCTCTATTATTTTAGTATAAATAATAAGTGAAGGGGGCGGCCATATTATTGCTCTCTTTTCTTTTCAACTTCTCTTCTTCTCCTCTCTTCTTTCTCTCTTCAAGAAACTACTTTCTTTCATATATATATTTTTTTAATTCAGCAGATTCCTACTTGGTATCAGAGCATCGGCTAGGGTTTCTTGAAGCATTCTCATGCAGCCCTAGATCATTCGACTGCATGAAGTAGTAAAGGGCTGATCGATCTTCTATAGATTGCCCAGTTCTTGGAGTTTTTTTGTGGGATCTAGACATCAGGAAGGTGATCTACTGTTTGGCATCAAAATCAGGAAGAACTAGAGTATGGGGAAGAATCCCAGAAAAGTTGGACTCTTTGTTTTTGATCTGATCTTGGGCGCCCAGGTATTGTTAGTTTTCTTTTGATTTTCTGAAGAGGGCGGTTTGGTTTCTGAAATTTTCTAGGCCTCCCAGAGTGATCGATTCACTTTTCTCTCTGTTGGGAGGCATGAGGAGGAGAGAGATTT